CCCCCCCGCCCCCCACTGTGGGCTAAAGAACCTGTCACAACTCCGTGTTCCCATATGTGTGCCCACATGTGTGCCTACATGTGTGCCTTTTAGCCAAGCCAAAGTCGCTGCCAGACTGAGCCAAAGAATGAAATTCTCAGCAAATGGCCTCTCTGGGCAGGATGAGTTCATCTTTTTGGACATAGAGACTGTTAGCCCTCTGCCTCCCCGAGTCCCTCCCCCTGGCCCCTGAAACCACTGCAAAGCATCCCTGACCCTGACCCTGACCCCCCTGCCTTCTCAGTTCCTGGTGTATGACTATGACTCAAGTGGGAAACATGATTTCATTGGAGAGTTCACCAGCACCTTCCAGGAGATGCAGGAAGGAACAGCAAATCCTGGACAAGAGGTGTTACAAAGACCCCTCCCCTAGAACCCCCCCAATACCTCTGGGAAACTTCTGAGGGTGATGGTGAAGAGGCCACCGTGCATCCTCAGCATCACCCTAGGGACTGATCCAGGAAGTCTTGCTCTGGGAGGCTTTGCTGGAAGGGGGAGGAGGGGTCACCTGATGGAACTGTGACCTGGGCTTTTGGGGAATGTGGGGGTCTAGATGCAGTGGGACTGCATCAACCCCAAATATCGGGACAAGAAGAAGAACTACAAGAGCTCGGGGACTGTAGTTCTGGCCCAGTGCACGGTAAACCCCAGTGTCAGCCTCAAGCCCTGCCCCAGCCCCGAGCCCTCTGCAACCTCACATTCAACTCTTCCTTTGCCTCTGGGAACTGAAAACCCTTGCCCTACACCACTGCCAACTTCAACCTCAAAAGCTCCGATCCCTCCACTTCCCCCACAGAAGCCCCACCTAGCTCCCTCCCCAAAGGACTTCCCCTCCACCTCACCTCCCCTGCTTCCGCCAGGTGGAGAAGGTACACACGTTTCTGGATTACATCATGGGCGGCTGCCAGATCAGCTTCACGGTAAATGCCCAGGGGACGGGGACACGGATACGAGGGAAGGGCTAAGCCCACAGTGAGCAGAAAGACCCCAGAATGCCCTCGGCCCTCCTTAGGCCTCTCGTGAGCCTAGCATTGTCATCTTGTTCCTCTCACCCCGCTCTGTGATGATGCTATCTACCTGTGGGCTCACCCTGATTCTCCTTAGTCCTCCGTATGGACACTAGCCCTGGCCTAGCCGCCCTATTGGCTCTCGGGGTTGTAGCAAGAACCTTTCCCCCCTCTACCAGGTGGCCATTGACTTCACGGCCTCCAATGGGGACCCCAGGAGCAGCCAGTCCCTACACTGCCTCAGCCCTCGCCAGCCCAACCACTACCTGCAGGCCCTGCGGGCAGTGGGAGGCATCTGCCAAGACTATGACAGGTAGAGAGAGGTGGGGGCAGGGGGAGACGGGCAGGGAGGCTTTGCCCGATGGGCCCTGCAGCCTTTTCTTCTCCCCAGTGACAAGCGGTTTCCGGCGTTTGGCTTTGGGGCTCGGATCCCTCCCAACTTCGAGGTAGGCTGGGTGCCAAGAGGTGGGAGGAGCTGGTGAGACAGAGAGACGGGAAGGAATGATCCCCTGGCTGTTCTCCTAGGTGTCCCATGACTTTGCTATCAACTTTGACCCGGAAAATCCTGAATGTGAAGGTAAGAGGGGATGCTCCCGCCAGCCCCCCAATACAGTTTGCTGCACGCCCCTGTACACCCCATGGCAAAGCACAGACTGCATTCCCAGGGGCTCAGCTCCCCGACCCTTTACCCATTCATTGCCTGGGTTCCTTTGATAAGACTTCCAGACCCTGGCCCAGCATCTACCCGCCCAACTGCCCCAGGGCCTGGGCCATCCAACTCTCCTTCTTACTGAGAAACTAGGAAGGGGGGCGGGGGGAAGGACACCTCCTTGCTTTAAGGCACATGTGTCAAACACAAGGCCCGAGGGCCAAATCCGTCCCGCCATGCCTTGCAATGTGGCCCGCACCGCGCTGTCATCATTGCACTCAGCTGCGTTTCCATCACAATGACAGTTTATGACTGTTCAGTAAACCATTCGGCCCGCGATTTAGGCTGGATTTTAGATTTTGGCCCCTTCTCTGATTGAGTTCGACACCCCTACTTTAAGGGGTGCCAGGACATGCTCTTCATGTCCCTGCTAATCCCTGAAAGCCTCGCCTCTGCCCACAGAGATCTCCGGGGTCATCACCTCCTACCGCCGCTGCCTGCCCCAGATCCAGCTCTATGGCCCCACCAACGTGGCCCCCATCATCAACCGCGTGGCCGAGCCAGCCCAGCGGGAGCAGAGCACCGGCCGAGCCACGGTGAGGAGAGGGAGCAGGCAACCAGCCTCTGCCCGGGAGCTCTTGGGTGGGGCGGGGCAGGGACCGGCTGGGGCATGTGCCAGAGGCCTTGCACACAGAGGCCACCTCCTCCCTCCCTCCCCCGCAGAAGTACTCGGTGCTGCTGGTGCTCACAGACGGCGTGGTGAGCGACATGGCGGAGACCCGCGCCGCCATCGTGCGCGCTTCCCGCCTGCCCATGTCCATCATCATCGTGGGCGTGGGCAATGCCGACTTCTCTGACATGCGGCTGCTGGATGGCGATGAGGGTACCTTGCGCTGCCCTCGAGGGGTGCCCGCAGCCCGTGACATCGTCCAGTTCGTTCCCTTCCGGGACTTCAAGGATGTGAGTGTCCGGTGCTCCCTCCCAACGGGACTCCACAGCTCCCCACAAACCCAAATCTGGCCTGGTCCTCCCACCGGGTGGATGTCCTGAGAAGGATGCTAGAGCCCAGCTGGTCACTCCGAAGCCCCGCCCACACCTGCCCCTGCCCCCGCCCCTTAGGCTTGGGTCCCTAACAACCACTGCCTTGACCCCCCACCCGCAGGCCGCACCGTCTGCGCTGGCTAAGTGTGTCCTGGCCGAGGTGCCTCGGCAGGTGGTGGAGTACTACGCCAGCCAGGGCATCAGCCCCGGGGTGCCCAGGCCCAGCACGCCGGCCACCACTCCCAGCCCTAGCCCGTGACTGCCTCCCGCTGGACGGACACTCCCTCAGCCTCTCAGTGAGTCCTGGGTGCCCGAAGGAGCGGACACTACCGAGGGGGTGCAGAGTGGGGCTTGGTGGAGGCCATCTCGGCCAGGTATGGTGTAGAGGAGGGTGCTTATGATGATCCCACTCTCTCTCAGGTGCCTGTCCTGACCCCTGTGACTCGAGTGACCAGTGCCTCTCCCTCTTGGATCAGCTGTGCCCCCTGGGTCCTGGAAGTGAGTGGAGAGCCCTGCCCCGTCTCTCCAGGCCCCATAGTCCTGTGGCCCCGCACTGACGCTCTTCAGTGATCCTGACTTTCTGGCCGTTAATAAAGGGAACCAGTCTTAGCGCCTCAGCCTCTACCCATCATGTCTCAGATGTCCACTGGGTAGTCTGTAGCACCCACAAATGCCATTAAGAACCGGCACCTTTCAGCTTAACAATAACCCACAACCTTCGGACCAACTAAGAACCGGCACCTTTCAAAACCTAGGCCGGAGTTCACCAGGCAGTCACATGTCTCTACACTCTCACCCCAACTATGTACCAAGGAGATCTGAGAAGCCCCTATCCTCACCTCCCAATGGGGGGTGGGGGGGCGCGGCAGGCACCATGGGGGTTAATTATTGGAGATGGGGAAGGTAATGAGGGGCTGTCAAGGGGGCAGGCTAATGCCTTTTTACAGCTGTCTCCAGAGAATCCCAGCTGAGCCCAAGGGGTGGAACTCAGCCCACACACAGCTGTGGGTGAGACCCAGAAGGGGTGTGTGGGGAGTGAGCAGGGCAGGAGGTCTGCTAGTGAACTAAGAATACGGAAGAGACATCTAAGGTCTGTGCTGCCTGGTTTTCCTAGTTGTTTGGATGTACGTGTGTGCTCATGATTGCACATCCCTGATTTTCCATGAGCGTGGCCTTAGTGGTTCAGGTAGTCCGGCTGTGTACTCTTAATAACATTCACAATAGCAGGACACATTATTGTTTAGCCAAAGAAGAACCAGGAGCCCTTAAACTTGAGCCCAGGCCCATCTGACTAAAGGGCACATACTACCAACCACTAATGTGCAATTTCTGTGTGGAATATATCTGGTGACCCAGAGACACTTGTGGATGGGAGTCTCTGCCCATGTGTGTGCCTCAGCCAATAAGGTAAAGTGTGCAAGAACAGTAGTAGGTCTGGATTGCAGCTTCAGAGGGCAGGTAAGGCAGGTGTGAGATCCAGAATGAAGGAAGAATAGCTGGGCTCCTCTTCCTTCAATGATGTGTGTGGGAGAGGGTGAAGGAGGAGAGGCTAAAGGTGCCATGAGCCAGCCATTGCCAGCAGCCAATAGCCAGTGGTGGGGAAAGAAGAGGAGAAAAGAAAGAAATCCTGGGGGAGATGAAAGAGAGGCCCCCATTGCAGGCTCCTGAGTGGAGGAGGGACAAGCTGGGCTAGAGGAGGGGGAGGCAGTAACAAGAACTGGAATGGGAAGAGACAGCTGGGGAAGGGATGGTTAAAGGGGGCAGGAAGGAAGAGAGACATATGACAGTTTCTTCCCCCTTGCCTGACTGCCTCTCCCCATTTATGTCACCTGGAGGACCTGTGACAGTAGCTGGTGAGGTTGCTGCTTCCAGTTCAATGCCTCTGACATGCCCATATCCCCTAACTACTCTCACCATAGGCTGCTGAAGCAGAGGGCTGGATTACCATAGCAACTGTGAGACCTCAGGATAGTCACTGATGCTCCTGAGCGTCTGTGCAGTAGTGGTGGGAGGGGGAGGCTCCATCTGGCCCAGTCCCCACGCCTCCACCCCATTTTTATTGGGCCTCCAGAACTGAAAAGCACCACTCAGCCCAGGTAGGGCTTCCCAGTCTCTCTCTGTCTCTCTTTGTCTCTCTCTCTCCCTTCTCTTCTCTCTCTCTCTCTCTCTCTCACACACACACACACACACACACACACACACAGGGATAAAGGATAAAGAATGAACACTTCTAAATTACAAGAACACTAACCAATAGCATAAAGTTCTGTCTGGACTTCAAGTTTAATTCACAAAAGCTGCACTCTCAGCTCCTTGCCATGCTGGGGCAAGTCTCACCTCAGCCCTCAGAAAGGCAGGAGGGAGCAGGGTCATCTTATGCAGATCTGGAGGTCAAGCGGCCTGCAGGGAGCAGCAGAGGACCGGTGCGTGGGCTCATCCACTGTGTAGGCTGCAGCCAGGAAGCTGGCGCAGGTCAGGAAGTCCCTTCGGTGAGGTTGTCTTGGGGAGACCCCTGGACTCGCACACTAAGGATGCCGGGACTGGAAAAGTGAGAGCAGTCACCCAACCCGAATGAGGCTTAGATGAGGTAGCTAAGATCCAGGGAGCAAATGATTTGCTTAAGATTGCAGTGGTTCCCTTGGCAGAGCTGGAGCACCCAGGTCTCCGGACTCCCGCCCAGGGCTCTCTCCCGGCCCACAATCACCACCCCCGAAGCTCCTCAAGCCTTTGCAGCTCTGGGCCCTGGAAGCCACTGGGTTGGGTAGGAGGAAAGCCTCTTGGATGAAATTCCTAGTCTGTCTTGCTATTGGAAATTAAAACCTTGAAAATGCAGTAATCCTAACTGGGGAGGTTATGAGCCCCAGAATGAAAATACAGCCTTGTTGCTAATTACTGCCTAATGCCCTATAAATTGAAAACCTTTCATTAAAATACACACCACTCCCTCACCTCCCATGCACTGTCACTCAGCCATCATCCACGCCCTTGCCGCCCGCCCCCCCCCTCCCCCCCGCCCTGCCCAGCTCACACACAGTGCCTGGTACTGGTTCCCGCTGATCTCAGATCCTGGTCGTGTGGATTTTTGGGCAAAAGGTAGAGGGTTTCTGTGCATGGCCCGTTTGAAGGGACAGCACATGCCTTAAGGGTCCGGGAAATTTGAGGATATGGCTGTGGTCATACAGAGGAGTGTCTGGCACCAGAAGGCGCTGGATAACACCTAGTGAATGGGACAGCTGCCTTCTGGGTGGTGAGCCCACCCCAACCTATTCCACCACTCCGTGGCCCCAAGAGGCTCAGAGGAGGAAGTGAGCGTGGTCCCCGGGCCCGGGGCCCCCGGAGGACAGCCGGTCACAGCGAGCCTTGTAGAGGTCGCGCTCCCTGGCCAGGCGGGCCACCTCGGTGCGCAGCGCCTCCAGCTGGGCGGCCAGGCGGGCGCGCTCCGCCTCCAGCCCCCGCCGCTGCTGCAGCCTCTTGGAGCGGCAGGCCTGCGCGTAGCCGCGGTTCTTCAGCGTGCGGCGCCTCTGCTTCAGCCGCAGCGCCTCGTCGCGCCCGCAGCCCCGCAGCTGCCGGTTTAACTCCCGCACGGACATCGACACCAGCGCCGCGTCAGAAAAGCGCTCGGCCAGCTGCAGAGGGAGTAGGGGGAGACCTGGTCTGGTCCGAACCGGACACTCGGTTCCCAACGCCAGGCCGGCCCCGCCTGGCCCTGGACTTGACCTGAATGCTCGCCCTTCCTCTGATTCCATCTCCCCACCCAGACCCCGCCCCGGGTCCCAACACTTCCGGCTCCCAGAGGTCTTTGCCCAGGGACTCTAGCCCCGTTTTAGACCCGCCCGGCTGGCCCCGCCCGCCTCCCACTGACAAGCAGGCCCATCATGCACCTGAGCCTAGGGCCATCCCTGTTTAGTCTGTAGCATCAGGCTCCAAGCCCACGTGTCTCCAGTGTGCCCATGCCCAGATAGACCCCACCTTTCCAACGCACCTGGCTCTCCTCTCCCGGAGGCTGCAACCCTGTGACCCTCAGCGGATTTGGATTAGGTCTTAATGCCCTCAACACCCCCATCTGTGTCTATAATTAATAGGATGAGTCCCGATCCTTTCTGAGAAGGTTGGGGGCTGGGGTAGCACCAAGACTTGAAAAGGACAAATTCATTCTCGTTCCCAGTTTTCCACGCATGGTTTTTACCTGCCGTAATCGCCTGCTCCTCCACGACCTTTAATTCTCAACTCTGCCTTTTCTGCCCTCTTCTAACCTTACCTTCTCCCTTTTCCTCCTGGATCGGCCTATTCATTTCTCTCCATTTGGAAAAAAGGGAGGGGGCAGAGCGTTGTTTTCTCTGATTTCTTTCAAGGGCCCTTCTTCCCTTCTTTTGCCCTCTGTCTCTTTCCCCGTCCAGGAGCTCCTTCGTTTTCTCTGCTTCCCCTCAAAACAGCGTACTGATCACTCACCTGGGCGGGCTGGGCTCCTGTCTCCTCTGAGCTCCCTGGGTAATAGCCATGGGGTCCCTCAACAGGGACTGGGTTCTGACCCTGCAGCAGCTCCACGGCCTCCTCAGGACTCAGCCCCAGTAACTCCCCAGCCCCCAGCTGCTGCTGCAAAGTGGCCAGCCAGTACAGCTCTTCCAGGCCTGGCCGGGGGCCCTCGGTGGCCCCCAGCACGCCTGCCTCACTGAAAGTGGGCGAAGGAGGCACTGAGCTGTAAGGTGTAGAGCCCAGTGAGGCTGTGAGGGTGCCAGATCGCCCCTCCGAAGGTTCCCGTTTTACTTCAAACTTCATCAAGTCAAAGTCATTGACATATTCCATGGCCAGGGGGCTGGGAGGCAGTGCCATTCTGGGGCTGGATTGGGGGGGCACACCTGCAAAACAGAGGAGACATCTGGAGCACTTGGAGGCTGCCTGCCAGTCTCCTTCACCAAAACCTGCTCCCCCAAAGCCCGAGGGCTCTGGAGCCTGAATTCTGGAAAGCCGGGTGATGGTGCAGCCCTGTTCCCTGCATAGTCACCTCTGGGCGGAGGGCCAATTTTTCAGGTGGCAGAAGTCCCTGATCGGGGACAGTAGCTTACGTGAGGAAGAGGACAGCACAGTCTCTGGCCCCACTGGTGCCTCTGAGATTTATGAAAAACAAGGAGAATATGGCAGTGCTCCAACTCTACTGCTGGAACATGCTGAGATGCTCTGTCATCTCAAGAGGCACCATTCCATTTCCAAGCAATTAAAAATTTTGCTTAATTAACTGTGAGAGTAGGTATATATTTTAAGACAAAGGGAAACATGAACGCTGTGAATTTTAATGCATGAGTAAGGATAAAATGCTATTATTATACCTCTCTATCTCTCAGAGCACCTAAGACAATGCCTTGCATATAGAAGACCCTTACTGCACATTTGTTCTATGAGTTAACCAACCCCTTTTATAGAGGTGAGAGACTTTCCAGGGGGGAAAAAATGATTCTAGAATCCGTTTTAGAAAGATCGGGACTCGGTGGCGACCATCTTTCCCCAAGGCCAATCTCTCCCAGGGGAACCAAGCAAGATTGGTTCTTCTTCTTCCATTTAGAACCCCCTATGTTGTGTGAACTTGAGCAGTTCATCTTCCCCATTCTGACCCCAGTTTCCCCCTAGCTCAGGTCCCAATTTCAGCAGCCACAGCCATAGCTCCAGAAGGGGCAAAGCAGGGAGTGCTCATCCACAAGGCTTAGAATTTGGCTTAATTTTGATGCCCCCAACCTAGGAATTCCTCTTTCCAGCCACATCTCAGACCCTAGGCTCTGGCCAAAGAGGTGGGAGGAAGGACAGGCCTCTCTTCCTGTCCCAGGGAAGGGCTGTCGCCCTGTCTATTGAGCTCCTCACCCTTAAGAGAACAGAGAAGACAGAAACAAGCACACAGATTGAAGGAACTGGTTCTTGGCAGGGAGAAGGTGGTGAGACACTGAGAGAAGCATCCAGAGAGAATTAGATGAAAGAATAAGTGAGACTTGTTTATGTTTCTGATGTGACAGCAGTGAGAGATAGAGAGCCAGTTGGGGTAGGAATGAGGTACGGGACAGAAATGTGAGGATTCCTGAAAATAGACAACAGAGAGCAGACAGCAGGTATCAGAGGAGGGGACTCTAGGCTCTAGGTTAGAAGCCCAGCACCCAGGAAGGCCCAGGGCATACTCACTTAAGGGATGGCAGAGGTGATATGGTCAGTGTCAGAGCCAGGCAAGCACAGCTTCCCCAGAGGCTGGAGGCACCATTGAGCAAGGCCTAGGTGCCTTGCTCAGAACAAGGGGCTGTGGGCACAGAGCCCACAGGGCACTCTTAAAGGGATAGCTCTCTGAGGTCATTTGTGGTCCTTAGGCCTGTAGCCAATGAGGTAAGGGGATCATTTGACTATCTTATTGGCCTTGGGGGGGAGAGGGAGAGACAAGAGGAGAGAACAAGTTTGCCTGTTTTCAAGGAAGGAAAGAAGGCATCTTCCCCAACAAAGCTCCTCACTGATAGTCTGACTTACATGTTCTCAGCTTCCTGGTACAGACCACCACCCTCATGTGAACACAACCCTCAGCCCTCAGTGACAGAAAGTATGGATTAGAAAAGACAGCTCCCAGTGCTCTCGCCCTCCAAAGCTCTGCAGCCCCTTGTCATTGTTTTTTGGGAGTTCAAGTTCTCTGGAACCCACTCTCACCTGGGCTGTTGGGTGTCTCCTATTTTCAGGAATCCTCATGTTTCTGCGCCCTGCCTCACTCCCACTATATCTAGCCTCATGACCCTCGTAGGTATCAAATCGGAAAGAGAAGCCATCTTCTTCATGAGGAATCTCCAGGACTTGACCATCCAATCCTCAGTCGTTCTCACTCTTGCTGACCCAGCCCCAAGACAGGCAGTCCAGCTTCAGAGAATGAACAGGAGAAGGAAAAATTGGAAATTCTGCCCCTTCCTTCCAGGCCAGTGTGGAACACTGAAATCTAATCACCACCAATCCATCTGTGACTTTTGTGACTGCCCTCATATGCCCTTTGCTTCTCCTCATCTTTTCTCTGTGTGTATTCTGTTCCTCTCTTTTCCTCTCTCACTCATTCTGGTTCCCAGATGGTTGGTGGGTGACCTACATTTTCAGCCTAATCCCCTAACACCTCTTAGACCTATCATCCCTGAGGAGAAGTTGGAACAGGGATACTAGGAATTAGCTAAGGAGATGTTTAAAGCTGTCTGAAGCTGTTTAAATAGGGTCTGTACTGGAATAGAACTCCATGAGTTAAAGGCTATTCCCTACCTTCTGAGGACACCTAAACCCTCCCGTAGGGTTAACAGATCCTATTTCCCATCCCAAAGAGAGACGTGGGTGTCAATCAGCCCCAATGATCATAACTTATAAAAATTAATCTAGTCCCAGCCTTAGGTGTTGGTTGAAAAGTTGGGAGATTCATATGATTTAAGACAGTGGTTCTCAAATGTGGTCCCCAGATCAGCAGCATCACCTGGGAACTTGTTAAAATGCAAATTATCTGGCCTTACTTCAAATCTACTGAATCAGAAACTCTGGGGATGGAGCCAAAAATATCTATGTTTTAATAAGCCCTCTGGGCAATTTTGATGAACACTAAAGTTTGAGAACTACTGGTCTACAGAATGCCTACAGAAAACTCAGCTTCCCTTTGTGTGTTTGTGTGTGTGGTCTTTCCTGACATGTTCTCCACACACATATAAGAAGACCTACAAAAGATAGATATAGAGGCAGTAAAGCAACAAGCAGACTGTCAAATTACAGCAGGGAGGGGAGGGAGATCTGAGGGAGATAAGAGATCAACCAAAGGACTTGTATGCATGCATATAAGTACAACCAATGGACACAAAACTCTGGGGAGGGAGGGCATCTATGGGGGGGAGGGACAATGGTAAGATGTGTATACAGATAATATTTTAATTTTTAAAAAATGGTAAAATAAAATTTTAAAATCTGAAGAAGAAAAAAAAGAAGACCTAGATCAGATGACATCTGTCTCCCACACCTAGCCTCTATTTTGTGGAGCAGAAACCATTACCATTATTCAAGGAGAAAGGCTTCTCAGTGTGATTGCCTGAATCTAGTGCTGTTTGTTGAAGAGCCAAAAAGCTCAAGGCCTGGAAGCAAAGCCACAAAATGAGAATGGGGACCATATAGACAGGGAATCCCTCACGCATGCCCATAGTATGTGGCTCTAAAACAGATAGTCAAGAGAGAGACCCCAGAATCTTCCTGGTTAAAGAAGGAAATTGAAATGTTGAATGAGCCCCCTTTTTTTTATGCCTGGTCTGGCCTGGCCAGACACTTGGCCCCTCTCCCCTCAGCAGCTGTCAGGTCTTCACTGATCCTCTTGTTTACTGGAGGGCTCAAAGGAGAGGTGGGAGGGCTGAGCTGCTAACAGGCTAAAGGAGTCAGACTAAACAAGCTCAGGCAGGTTGAGCTGCTAGGGATTCAGACCAGGCGACACTGAGCAGGAAAGGGAGTCTGAGGGCTGAGCCAGAGGAAAGGACCAAGGACATGGAAAGGAGAGACTGTGGCCTAGGAGGTAGTTCATAGGTCCTCTGTCAGGAGGGGAGGGGGCAGGGGGTGAATCCTGACACTGATTGGCTCAAGAACATCTGGGGAGGAAAAATGGGGAGGAAAAAGATGAAGTCAGGTAGACTCTAGGAATGACAGAACAGAGAAAGAGAGGCAGGAAGACTTAGCTAAGGAGGCAGTGGGTATAGACCTAGGACAGAACACAGAAAAAGTCAAGGGCTCCCAGGGATCTATACTCAAGGAGACAGAGGAACAATGGCACATGGAAAGTTGGGCAAAGGGCCATGGAAAGCTTCTGGGAGGAGGTCAAGAAGGGAGTAAGAGTAACAAGACAGATGATAAGAGCAAATAACTAGAAGAGCAAAAGTGATAGAAGAAAGAAACAAAAGAGCCCAAGTTGGTTTGGCTTAATGGATAGAGCGTTGGCCCGCAGACTAAGAGGTCCTAGATTCAATTCCGGTCAAGGGCACATGCCCTGGTTGTGGGCTCAATCCCCAGTGAGGGGCATGCAGGAGGCAGATATCAACGATTCTCTCATCACTGATGTTCTCTCCCTATCCCTTCCTCTCTGAAATCAATTTAAAAAATTGATTATTTAAATATTTATTTTTATTTAAAATAAAATAAATAAATGGGAAAATGTAGATTAAAGAAAAAAGAAACAAACAAAGGAAAAGAAAGTTGAGAACCAAGAACTAAAACAAATACAGAGAAGCCGACAGAGAGATGGTCAGGTCACAAAGAAAGAGTAGTTGCCAAAGGATGAAAAAGTAGAAAGATGTGGACTGAGGGATGCTGTGCCATGTGGAAAAAGGGCCAAGCAGGCAAAGAGCCTAGAGAAGTGGAGTAGGAAAGAAATAGAAAGGAGAGGTGAAGAGACAGAGTCAGTAATCCAGGATGCTGTTACTATATCCATTTTTGGAGCCCTGTAAGATTTGTTCTCATTCCTAGTTCTGACTTTTGGTATCCAGATCTTCAGTAATAGATACAAATTCTTAAACCTTTTCTGGTGTACCTCTTACATTCACTTGACAAATATTCACTTGACACCTACTCCACCCCAGGCACTGTGCTGTGCATTAGGTATACCTCAGCAAATCAGACTGGCACCAACCCTGCCTCTGGGGAGCTTACAGATGAAACAGAAACACTGCATTGGTGACCCCTGCCCTGGGCACTGTGCTTTGGAAGGCTCCACTCTGGTGCTCTTCCAGCTATGTGCCAAGGAGTGAGGAAGCCAGGCCTCTTCTGTGCACACACCCAGTCCCCTTCTGGACCACACTCCAGAACTCCAGAATTCTAGGGCCCACATGGACCTCTTCCCTGGGTTGCCCATCCAAGAGTAGACCAAACTACCCGTTCACACATTCCTAGACCTAACAAGTGGCCAAGAGGTGGCTGTTTGCAGAAGGCTATGGGCAGTATTAGGATTTATAGACAGAGGGGTCCACATACATGCACATGAGGCCCCTGCAGTACAAGACTGTGTCAGGGGTGGGAAAAGAGGTGGACCTGAGGACCAGTAGCTGGCTCTCCCCACACCACCACATTCTACTGGGGAATCCTGGGAATTCCAAATAAAATCAAATGTGAATCCATGTTAAGGATGGGCCTACCTAAAAACAAACCATTGTAACTGAGACGAGTGCTATGAAGGAGAAGGGCAGGGTAGGAAAAAAGTGAATATATTCAGTAAACTGAAAAAGACCAAGGGGGCCAGAGGTCTTCCAAAAGACCTAGGAAAGGGAGGAAGAATGGTGGCAGATGAGGGTGGAGAAGTCCACAGGTGCCAGATCACGCAGAGCCTTGTAGACCAAGTTTAGAATGTGGGCTTTATTCTAAGAGCAGTGAGAAGCTGGGAGCGTTTGAGATCTTACTCCCCAGCATATGTTGTCAGTATGACTCAAATAAACTCTTATAAAAATCATCTAAAAGTAAACAAATAAATATGAGCAGTGAGAAGCTATTGAAGGGCTTTCAGTGGAGACCTGATGGAATCAAATTATTTTTAAAAGATCACTTTGGATCTAGTGTGGAAGAGAGCAAAAATGGAATCAGAGTCAAATAAGGAAGTTAATGGAGCATCCAAGTTGAGTTTGGGGAAAATCTTAAGCTGGACACAAACTGAGATGAAAACTTATGTACAGGGGGCTTATTAGGGAAGACTTTCAAAGGGAGTGAGAGAAGCAGGACTGGGCAGGGGAAAAGTTGAAATGCATTACAGTTGCAACAGAATAGACTTCAGCTGATTCTATAGAATCTCTGGAGCTGGGATGAACTTTCATAGTTGTTTCAATTTGAGGCCAAGGGACCAGGCCTTTGAACCTGTCATTGGTGACATGTTATCCCAGGAAAGGAGCATTGCATTTGATAAGACAGTTTCCTTCAGTCACAGGTAGTTCTCAGGGAAACATTCAGCTGTGAACCATCAGGAGCCAACACTCAGTGGCTGGGACAATGAGCATCATGATTCTGAAGGGGAATCTAGGCAGGAGCTCATCACAGCATCCACTATAGCTGTGAGCCATCCGATATCTCCTCTCCCTCTCCTCCTCCCCCTGCCCCTCCCCCTCCTGTCCACAATGCTCTGGGAAGAAGAAAATGCAGACCAGAGTAAGGTTGATCACACGCTGCCCCCTGGTGGTACGCCATGGACAGGACACTGGTCAGCTGGTGGGCCAGGCTGCCAGGAGGGCCAGGAAACAAAGTGTGTGGCAGATACAGGGAATCAGCAGTACAAGGAAATCCTCTCAGGAGCCCCTTGAGCAGTCTGCCTAAAATTAAGGGAGGAAGAAAAAAGGAGGGGAAGGATTCAGAAACATGGGTGGGACTTGTTCATTCTTTCATTCAACCAACATTTAATAAGTGCCTATCATAGGCCAGATTCTGTAGGGAGCTATGATAAAAACAAGACCAATTTTTAAATTATTATTATTTTTAATATCCTTTTTATTGTTGATGTATTACAGGTCTCTCCCCTTCTCCCCGCACCCTGGCCCCTTTACCTTTATTTACCTCCTTCCTCACAGCCCTTTACCTCCTACCCCCTGCCATGTCTTCACTACCTTATTGCCCATGTCCATGGGCCATGCCTATAAGTAAGTTCCTTGGTTTATCTCTTCTCATTCCCCCAACCTCAAATTGAGGTATGTCAGTCTGTTCCATGCCTCCATGCTTCAGGTCTTATTTTGTTGGTCAATTCATTCCATTCATTAGATTCCAGAAATAAGTGAGATCATGTTATATTTGTCTTTCTCAGATTGGCTTATTTCACTTAGCATAATACTTGCCAGATCTATCCATGCTGTCCCAAGGGTAAGAGATCCATCCTTTTTTCAGCTGCACAGTATTCCATTGTGTAAATGTCCCACAGATTTTTTTAATCCATTCATCTACTGATGAACATTTGGAGGGGAGCTTGATGGAGGGGAAGGGTTGCATTTGGAGGAGTATGAGGCCAAGAAGTGGCATGAAAGCCATCACCTGAAACCAGATGAGAGATGAGCCCTGCACTAAAACAGTGGCTATGGGGATAGACACAGACTTAAGAGATAATTGTGAAGTATAAACCCAGAAGTCCTGGTGTCTGATTGGCTATAGAGGATTAAAAAGGAGTTGTCTGAACAGACTCAGATTCTTCTGGGGCAACTGGCTAGATGGTAGAGCCATTTGCTGAGATATGGAACCATGAGAGCACGAGAGGATTATGGAAGAAATGAGGACCTTTGGTAGGTTGACCAGCCCACCAGTGTGCACACTTTTATGCCCAAAGGTGCAAACAGGCAGCTTTCTGCAGTGGGATGGGTGTGGACAGAGTTTAGATGTTGGAACTGGAGGGAAGAGCCCCAAATACATATACATGAGGTTGAGTGCATGATGGAGCAGGAAGAGAGGAAGACCAGCAGCAAACCCAAGGCTACAGACCAGCTCTCCTTGTTTCACCATGCTCCAGCATAGAACTCTGAGAAATTGAGAATCTAAATGGTTTCTGTTGCAAATGACAGAAATGCACTTAAAATTAGCTTGAACAGCCGTGGCCAGTGTGACTCGGTTGGAGCATCACCCTGGTACACCAAAAGGTGGTATAGATTCAATTCCTGGTCAAGGAACACACCCAGGTTGCAGGTTCTACTCCCTCTCCGTTCCTCTCTCTTAAGAAAATTAGCTTGAGCAAGAGAAATAAATTGATTTCTAAATTTGAATTCTAAGTCACAAATTCGATTCTCTCCGTTCCTCTGCTCTGCGTCCTCTAGGCTGGCTTCCATCTCGGCAGGTTCCTGCTTTGCAGTGCTAAGCTGACACCCAGAAGCTCCAGGCTTATAGTCTACTAGCTCAGCAACCTCAGCAGGACAGGAGCTTATTTTGAAAGTTTACAGAAAAAGCCAAAGAGAGTGGCCTCATCCCCATCCTCGAACATTTCCAATTGCTGAAGTCAGAGTGAGGAACACACAAATGGGCCAAGCTGAGAACCTACGCCCAGGAGACCCACATGACCACACAGACTGAAGAGGAGCATCAAGATGCCATTATCAGAAAGGGGGAGTGGATGCTGAGAGATGCCTCTCACGGACATGTTAAGTTTGAGGTGCTGTGGCATTTGGGGTGATACCCAGTGGTCTCAAATTGAAGAAAAATGTAGATATAACTTGAGAAATTACCTGAGGACTTTTATGATGGTGCTTGGGTGGGGCAGATGCTTTCTCCAGGGGAATGTGGAAAGAATGACCATGGCAGAGGCCCCAAAAAGACTGGCGTGAAGACTGCTTCATGGTAAGGCAGAAGGGAGGCCTCATCTGGAGGAGAAGAAACAAGGATTTGGGAGTTGGGGACTGAAGAGACCTTAGAATTGAGACCTTGCAAATCACAAGAGCCTGGGAGTGCCCAGTCCCTGGGAAGAATGTAATGCCCAACACCCTCTAACAGACTTCCAGGCCCCGTGGACTCCAGCCCCTGGCTTGTTTGCCACCCAGCGTCTCCAGTCACTATCTACCGGGAGCAAGAGTCCTCAAAGTTACATCATGTGCTGTGGGCCGGGAGGGGCGGAGCCTCGAGGAGAGCAGCCGGTCCCCCAATGGGAGAGACGGGTTTGAGGGCTAGGATGCGGGGGGTGGGGTGCAGCTGGGCGGGCCTGGGACTGGGTGCCCCGGACGGACCGAGCGCCGGCCGGCTGGCGTGGCCGGGAGAGGGTCGCGTTTGCCCGGCGAGGTCCCGCCCCTGCATCCGCCCGCCCGCCCGCTTTTTAAGCGCCTCCCGCCCAGTCTCAGCTCCCTGCCGCCCCACCGCGCGCTCTCTTTCCGCCTTCCATCTCTCCCAGGCTCCGCTACGTTCCGTGCCACCCCACGACCCCCGCCCAGGTGCCATGGCCGCTGTGTACCGCACGGGCCTGCGGTGAGTGACCCCCAGCCCGGGGCCGACCCGCACCTTCCAAGGAGCTCACCCGCGTGGAGCTGCCAGCTGCGCCCTCCTGCTGGTCAGCCTCCACCTGGCTTCCCATCCAAGGGGGCAGCGGGCAGGGGGCGAGTGTTTCTCGAACCCAAGCTGCTCTGGCCGGACGTCTTGCCAGGGATCAGGGGCTGCCTCAGCAGCTCCGATCTCTCCGCTTCCGTCCCCTCCTACCCGCCCTGCTCTGCTGGTCTCTGCCCCGCGGTCTCTGAATGACGCTCAGAACTTCCTTTCACCTCCTCGCTCGCCCCCGCGAAGCCCCTTTCTGAGTCTGTCCCGTTTCCTCTGCAGATGTAACTCTTGTGCTCACGTTGCCACGAGGAACAGAAAGGCCCTGGGGTCAAGGGTGCATGAGTCCAGGGATCTGGCGCTCAGCTCCCTAATGTAAACATCCATTGCCCTGCCACCACCACTGGGACCTGGCCGGAAGCCGAGGGACCTGGGGCGAGGGGAAGAAGGGAGGAGGAAGGATCCAAGTTGCCTTCAATTCGTATATGGCTGGCTTTATCCCAGTTCAGGACAGGAGCCCTTAGGCCCTTGCTTGTCTCCCTTCCCCTTTTCACAGCTTCCCGTCTTGTCCCTTCTCCCCAGGTTTTGTTCCAGAATTTGAACTGACCCCATCTCTCTCCCACAGCTGGTTCAGTTGGCCAGCCCACACATAGGTGGTCTCTGGAGCAGAGAGAGGAGGAGTTCTTAGAGGACTGGAAGGAGTGGGGGAGCCTCACCAGACTTTCTTGCAGAGGCTCTCTCCAGGCTGTGTACCTTTAAGATTCGTGCTCAGGGAACACTTCCCCCTGAGGCAGGAACAGACCCAGGTCCCAGGCACCCTCCTCCTTTGCCCCTGGGACTACACTGGGTTTCCATCTCACTCTGCCCAGTGGAAGCCACCCCAGTTCCCACTCCAGACAGGCTCCAACTCCCACATCTATGGTTTGAGGCTTCTCCCTCCCACAGGCTTACGCCCTCTGAATTTGAGCTTCCTGCAGTCTGCTGTTGCACCCTACCACCAACACCCAAAGCTCTCTAGGCATATGTCCTCTAGGAAAGAGAACGGGGAGGGGGGGGGGGTGGGGGTGATAGGATCATGTGCTCCTAGGTGTGTGGGGCATAGAAGGGCAACTTCCCTTTCCTGGCCTTTGGTCCAATCAGAGCGGACCTTGCTTCTCCCTCTCCCAGGAATATGAATGGAGAGACAACAGGGACCCTACACTCCTGGGAAACAGGGCATGCTTAGCTAGTGACATTTCCCAATAGTCAGCCTTTCGCATGGTTCAAAAGTAACTACCCAGTGGCAATATTTTTGCAATCCTTTTGGATCAGGTGGGCGGCAGCAGATCTGATGGCTGAAACCCAACATCTGATCACCTACTCACTGTGCAAGAGTTTTAATCTAGAAACCTGGGACTGTACCATCTCAAAGAACAGGTTGTTTGCATGAGGTTTTTACAGTCTTACAGCATGCACACCAGAAGAAATAAATAAAAATAACCGGTTTGGCTCAGTGAATAGTGTCAGCCTTTCTACTGAAGGGTCCCAGGTTCAATTCCAATCAAGGGCATGTATCTTGGTTGTGGGCACACATCCCCAGTAGGGGGTGTGCAGGAGGCAGCTGATCAATGTTTCTCTCTCATCGATGTTTCTAACTCTCTAACCCTCCCCCTTCCTCTCTGTAAAAAAAACAATAAAATATATTTTTAAAATAAAAATAGCTGCCTTTTTAACTTTTAAAAAAGTAGACTTGAGAATGGAAAGCACAGGGATGAGAACTTCCAATACCAAACATGAAGCTGTCACCTAGGCACAGTTTCCATACTTGGGCCTTGGGCACCTGTTCATTTCTAAACATTGACCAGATCTAGTATAGACTAGGCCCGCAAAAACATTAGCATGCCTATACATGTACTTCTACATAGCACAGCCTTTATGATCATTTGGCAATACCTACCCATTGTGACCAGGAGACACCCTGACTAAGCTTCATAAAGGCCACAAGATACACGTCGCCTGAACCTATTCCTCACACCTACTCCAACCTGCTCTTCATGAGACCTGCACCCAGATGCTTTAGCATGCTCCGTAGCAGCCCCAGCTTCCTGTCCTGGCTCATTACCTGTTTTTTTTTCTCTCACAGGCTTAGCTGGCATAGGCTGAGCCCCTATGGCTGGTCATCCCAGCGCAGCATCCAGTCGCTGCGAGTACTCAATGGCGATCTGGGCCAGCTGCCTTCTGGGGTTCGAGACTTTGTGGAGCGTAGTGCACGTCTGTGCCAACCAGAGGGCATCCACATCTGTGATGGGACTGAGGCAGAGAACTCTGCCACACTGACCCTGCTGGAGCAGCAGGGACTCATCCGAAAGCTCCCCAAGTACAATAACTGGTAAGTCCTGGGCCCAGCAACCCACAAGATGGGGGCAGCTGCTTGGACTGAGGCCACTCACTTTGTCTTTACCAAGACAAGAGCCACATGCGGCTCTTTGGCCCCTTGAGTGTGGCTCTTTCACAAAATACCATAGCCTGGGCGAGTATAGTTTGAAGAAGTGGCATTAGAAGAAGTTTAAGTTTAATTAGAAAAAAATAAGTTTAAGTTTAAAATATCTGGCTCCCAAAAGAAATTTCAATCGTACTGTTGATTATTTTGCTCTGTTGACTAATGAGTTGACTACTGAACTAAACCATCTCACTGGAATGAGCAAGGACAGTAGGAGCTTTAGAGGAAACAAAGTCAGGATTACTGGGAGTGGTCTGTATTTTTATGTTAAATAAGGAAGCAGATACAGATAAAAGCTTTTTCTTTTCTTTTTCTCACAAGTTCGGGGAGTTTTTGCCAGGAAAAGGGGCCTTTAAGAGGGCTAGGGGCCACGAGAACTACATAATTAAATATGGGTTTGGGCTAAGCCTGCAATAACATCAGCACCTGACTCCCCTTCATTTGTCCCCTTAAATGGGACACAACCTGGAGGAAGATTGAGGTGCAAATGGATGGGGAAAACAGAAGACTTGGAATCAAAGTTGGACTTGAAAGAGGGTCTGGGGATGAGGGAGACCTTCTGGCCACCGTCTTCCTGATAATCCTCTCTCCCCCAGCTGGCTGGCCCGCACAGACCCCAAGGATGTGGCACGAGTAGAGAGCAAGACAGTGATTGTAACTCCTTCTCAACGAGACACGGTGCCCATCCCGACTGGTGGGGCCCGTGGGCAGCTGGGCAACTGGATGTCCCCAGCTGAGTTCCAGCAAGCTGTGGATGAGAGGTTTCCAGGCTGCATGCAGGGTAATCAGGGCAGGGACACAGAGGGTAGGGCACTGGTGGTATTAATAGGTTGGAACCCTTCATCCAGGTGACATTTCCCCCCACAGGCCGAACCATGTATGTGCTTCCATTCAGCATGGGTCCTGTGGGTTCCCCACTGTCCCGCATTGGAGTGCAGCTCACCGACTCGGCCTACGTGGTGGCAAGCATGCGTATTATGACCCGGCTGGGGACGCCTGTGCTTCAGGCCCTCGGAGATGGTGACTTTGTCAAGTGTCTGCACTCTGTGGGCCGGCCCCTGGCTGGGCAAGGTGAGCTCCTGCCCTGTCCATGGGAAGACACCAAGGCCTATTTACACTCAGAGGGAACCCCAAATCCTTCCCATCCTAATTAATGAGACACCTAATTCCCTAGGTCAGTCCAGCAGGCCTGGGTTGGGAGTGAGGCTGTCTGTAGAACAGTTTGCACAAGATTGAGAAAGTCTCTAAGAATAGAGAGCTGATGGATATTATGAGGTGGGGGACTTCAGCCATCCATTGGCACCGCCATTGCTCTCAAGTGTCTATCCTGCCAACCCCTGATCCCTTTCCAGTGTTTCCCAAACTTTTGACAAACGTGTACCCCTTCTATAATTTTCGTAACACTGAGTACCCCTCATACTCATGAGAACATAGAATTAGGCGCAGCTAAGCACGATGCAGTGCATATCCCCACCAAACTCTTCCCGTACCCCTGGGGGTACGCATACCACACTTTGGGAAACACTGCGAACCCATTTCTGATGCTCCTGCTAGCAGCCCCATGACCCCATTGTCCCCAGGGGAGCCAGTGAGCAAATGGCCATGCAACCCAGAGAAAACCCTGATTGGCCACGTGCCTGACCGGCGGGAAATCGTCTCCTTCGGCAGCGGCTATGGTGGCAACTCCCTGCTGGGCAAGAAGTGCTTTGCCCTTCGCATCGCCTCTCGGCTGGCCAGGGATGAGGGCTGGCTAGCGGAACACATGCTGGTGAGGACCGGGCAGGTGTGGGGGGGCCAGGCAGTGGTGGTGCCTGACCAGTCTGCCTCAGCCTTGCCTCCCCACTGCCAAGTGCCAGACTGGTGGGCAGGGACTCTGCCCAAAGCCCAAAGCTTTGACTCCAAGCTGCTAAATGTTGGGGGGCTTCCCCTTGCTGCTACCCCTGGCCCAGTGGCAAGGCAATGCACCTGTTAAGTGAATAAACATCTGTCCTCCCTGTTCCTCTGTAGCTGCCTTCCTGTGCAGACCATCCCCTGACCTTTGGTGACCTCCCCCTTGTTCCCTTTCTCCCCAACACACAGATCCTGGGCATCACCAGCCCTGCGGGGAAGAAGCGCTATGTGGCAGCCGCCTTCCCCAGTGCCTGTGGCAAGACAAACCTGGCCATGATGCGGCCAGCATTGCCAGGCTGGAAAGTGGAGTGTGTGGGGGATGACATCGCCTGGATGAGGTTTGACAGTGATGGTGAGTGGTCCTTGGATCATACTCTTGATTCTGGCTCTTACCAGAGCATAGAGGTCTCCCCTCCACTACTCATGGTGAGCTTTGTCAGTAAGAAACTTCCTGAATAGTTGACCTTCCTCTGAAAATCCTGGCAGAGACACAAACCAGGATCCTTGTCAGATCTAGGGTCCAGCTTAAGGCAAAGAGGAACAAAGCAGGACCTTCCCTGGCCCACCCCTCAATTTCTCCTGGTTGGTCTTTCTCTTTTTTTTTCACTTAACAGGTCGACTCCGGGCCATCAACCCTGAGAATGGCTTCTTTGGTGTGGCCCCTGGCACCTCTGCCACCACCAATCCTAATGCCATGGCCACAATCCAAAGTAACACTATTTTCACCAACGTGGCTGAGACCAGCGATGGTGGCGTGTACTGGGAGGGCATTGACCAGCCTCTTCCACCTGGCGTCACCGTTACCTCCTGGCTGGGCAAGGCCTGGAAACCTGGTATGTGGGGCGGGGGAGTCAGGACACAGCTCCCAGGGCTCAGCACTTGGATGACATAACATCCTTCACAACCCAGAGGCATCTTCCAGGACCTCCAGGAGGCACAGGAAGTTATGAATGTTTGAAGTTTCTAACCCCAGGCAAGGTCTCAGTTCATATCCCAGCTCCATCAAGTTCTGGCTTTGTGACTTGGTTAAACTGCTTAACTTTCCGAGTGTCAGTTTCCCCATTAGTTGAATGGGGGTAGCATCTATCACAAAGTTGTTGGAGGATTAAATAGATACAAAGGGTTTAGTACAGTACCAAACACATAGTAAATCCACCATAAATATATTTTATTTTTTAAACGGTATGTTTTGAAAATTATTATAGAAGGAATAGGGTTCACAACATAATTCATAAATTTTGACCTATTAGTAAGGGAGGAAGCCTCCCCTCTACCTGTGACTTGTTTCTCAACATCCCCCCATATAATAACCACTGTCTAAAGGTAAGTAATGTTGCCCTAGCCAGTTTGGCTCAGTGGCTAGAGCATCAGCCTGCGGACCAAAAGATCCCGGTTTTTATTCCGGTCAAGGGCATGTACCTGATCAGGATTGTGCAGGAGGCAACCAATCAATGTGTTTCTCTCATATCAATGTTTTTCTGTCTTTCTCTCTCTCTTCCATTCTCCTTAAAAATCAATGGAAAAATTCCTCAGGTGAGGATTACCAAAATAAATTAAATAAATACAGGTCAGTATTGTAATCCCTACCCTTTCCCAATCCCTCCAACACATTCTTCCAAACTGAATCAGACTAGTTCTTTAGCCTCTCCTAGAAGTGAGTTTCTCAGTCCTGTCAATTCTCCCCATGCTTTGCAATACTTCCCCCTCCCCCAGCCCTGCACTCTGGCCTTCGGTTTTCTGTGGCCTCCAGCAGTCAGAGAGCCCAGAGACATAGGGATGAGCGCAAAGAAGAGCATGGTGGGGGAAGATGGTCACTGTGGTCACTGAAGCCTATACTCAAGTTTTCCACGCTGGCCTAGCAGTCACCCTCCTCATCTAATCACCCTTTATTTTCTTCAACATCATCATTAAGCCCTCCTCAGTCTTCCTACCCAACTAAGAAATCCAAGAAAATTTCATATTTCCCTACAGGCTAATTCCCCAACCCTTTCATCATTTCTGGATTCAGGGCTATAACTAGAGCATTTTGTTCCCAGTTTCAGTTCCCAGAATAACACCCTGTGCTAGGGACCTGAATTAGGGGCTGATGAAAGTGTAAGAGAGAGGGTAAAGGACAGCTCTTATTTGAGAGTGGAGGCAGGAGCTGGTGGGTGGAATAAGGGCAGGGATAA